AGATACACCATTTCAAAAATTTCTACGTGTACAGTTCAGTGACATCGATTACATTCTTCCAGTTGTGCTGCTATTCTCACTATCCTTTTCCAAATGATTCCATCAACATTATCTTCAACTCACTGCCCCCAGGCTTCCCATCAAACCTTTTGAGTTGCTGTTGTCAGTTTGATCGCATATAGATGATTCTTTTTTTTTTGTACTTTAAATGAAGGTTTACAGAACAGAATAGTTTCTCGTTAAACAGTACACATATTGCCCTATGACAATGGCTAACAACCCCATGACATGTCAACACTGTCCCTTCTCAACCTTGGGTTCCCTATCACCAGCTTGCCTGTCCCCTCCTGCCTTCTAGTCCGTGTCCCTGGACTGCTGTGCCTCATTAGTTGCGTTTTGTTTTATGGTGCTGTCCAGTCAGACGGTCACTTTGGACAAATGTTTTGGACTCTGGCCCTTAGCACTCTCTCCCCCTTGACTTTCTTTTAGTTTTTGCTCTTTGACTTGGAGAACCATAGCTCTAGCTCAAACTCCACACCCACCCCTCTTCCTCCTCCCCTCCCCTCCCCCACCCCCACCTGTGGGTCTAAAGGCTTCAACCTTGTCTGTCTGCTCATGACTTGTTCAGAGCCTAGAATGCTGCCTGAGACAGCGTTCGTGCTCAATAAATATTTACTCCATGCATGAGTGGTCATCCACAGAAAAGCTGGCAAACAAGGAAGCAGCAGCGCATTTGAAGTTGGGATGGCCTACAGCATGTGCAAAGGAACGCAAAGAGGAACAAGGAATATATTTATGTCAAACACGTTAGATGCAATGATTGGAAGTGTTACAAATGAACAAATGTAGAAGTTTAGATACTGGAACACATGAGAAGAGAAATTCTGAAAATGATGACTTTATAGTACCACGTATTTAATTGGGTTTTCAAGTTAGAATTCTACATATTTTTATTTGTATATGAAAAGTATATATGTGAGTGTGTATGTATGGGTATATATATGTATATATATGTATTCCCCTATTTTATTCTTTTAACATTCTGTTTTTTCTGTTAAAGCTTGCAATTCAAGATGGTTGCAACAGAGGGCAGAATTGCATAAGAAATTTAAACACCTCTTCTTTGCCTGAAAAAGTCACCCCAAAATACAAATTATGGCAATAATGTAGATTGAGTCATACAAATCCTCTTTTTGACCCTCTAGTCCTTAGAATTTATATATCAAGTTTATTTAAGAGCATCATAGTTATTTTTCATTTCATAGCTAAAATACTTGGTAATATATGTAAACCTTATCAAAACAAAGTGCTAATCCATTGAGAGAGAAACACTGAATGGATAATGTATTTAACTTCTCTATCAAAATTAAGCAATGGGTACTCTTTGTTCCATTCTAAATATGCTTTAGGTTTATTTGCTTTTCTTTTCGTTCTAGTGCTGGAAAGCAGGGTTTTCGAGGTTACCACCGTTGACAAATGCCGATTAATATTCTTTATTGCGAGATTTTTGAAGTGTATAGGCAAAACCAAGGAAGCAGAAGAGTTGTTTCTGAGTGTTGAGGACATGTTAGTCCAGGTAAAGTGAGAAATCATTTTAAACCTCCCAAACTTTGTCCCTTTTGTGTTAGATATTTTTCAGATACCACCTACCTTTGTTCCTTTATAATTAAGTGCACGGATAATTAGAAGAATCAGTTGGTTATGTTCATCAGTGAGGAAGCCATGATTTCAACCTATGCCTCAAACTGTACATTAATGATAGCAAGCAGTAAATAGATGAGAGTCATTATAACATGAATGAATAGATGTCACTCTCAGGGGGAAAAAGGAAGGATCGAAAAGCCTAAACGGAAATACAGTGATGGATTGAAGGGAAGTAATAAAGACTTTGTTATAACTTTCGTAAAGATTTTAGGGAAGGTTGGTCAATTATTTTGTCCCTATATTGATTCACATTTCCTGAAATATGAACTTTTGGCTTTGTTGAATACAATGAAAACATCACTCATACTATATAACTGTAACTGTGTTTAGGATGACATTTAACTGCGCTTTAAAAAAAAAATTACACATTTTCACTATTCTTAGTAGAGTTTGTGGACCGAAGGTAGGTATCACCCAAAACAAAGCCAAAGCAATTTTTATTTTAACACAAAGACCTTCAAATTTTAATACATCACCCCTACCCCCATCAACACACATCTTTATAGAAGAAGTTCTATTTAAAGAGATTTATAAAAATCAACTTTGCAAGTACCTTTATGTCAGAAATCATCCTTATTTACAAATTTTTGTATCTTCCACAGCATGTTAAAACCTGTGGGTGCTTAATAAACAGGAAAATGAATCAAGAAATCAATTTGCATTTGAAATACCATTGTGCGCTTAGAAGGTAGCATGGAGTAGTGAATAGAGCATGGGCTGTTTTCAGACTGGCCAGGATTTAAATCCCAGCTTTGCCACTTACTGCTTGTGTGACCTTGGCGAGGATTTTAACCTCTGACCCAATGTGTTCTCACTTTTAAGGATTCTTGTAGCTGTCTCATGGGGTTGTTGACAGGATCAAGTAAGAGAGTGCATAAAGTACTTCACACAAAGTACTTCACACAATGTGGCACATAGTGAGATCTTAACTTGCTGTTAGTTGCTGTCAAGTTGAGTTCAACAGAACAAAATATTACCCAATCCTGTGCCATCTTCACAATTGTTGGCATGCTCGTGTCCATTGTTGCAACCACTGTGTATTTTAAGTGCCTTCCAACCTAGGGAGCTCATCTTCCAGCACGATATCGGATAACATTCTCTTGGGATCTGTAGGGTTTTCATTGGCTAATTTTTGGAAGTAGATCACCAGGACTTTCTTCCTAGTAAGATCTTAAGTACTGGTAGCTATTTTGTTATTACTGTCTTTGGGTTATAAAGTAATGAGGCGTAGGTTAGAAATAATATGAAGAGTTTAAGTTAAGGTATTTTGACTACTCTTTCATCTTTCAGGGAATAGAATGAGTAGACTCCAGTGACCCACTTGTTTCCCTATTGTGGTTATGGAATGTCCCCTGACCAGTTTTTCTTTTATAAGGTCCACATTTTCTATCACTGATGTATATCTATCTGAAAAGCACCAATTATTGATTAGGTAATTATTGAGTCCTGATTGTAGTCATTCCCTCATTCACTCACTCAGCTAATGTTCATTGAGGGCGTCGCCTAGGCCGAGCACCGTGCTGGGAGTTGGGCTGAGAGCAGCCACAGAGGCAGGCACAGTTTCTGCCCTCACGGGGCTCCCAGTCTAGCTGGAACTCAGCAGCTACAGCACTTCAGTGATGAAACCTAACCTGAGAAATACCTGTGGCGTGGTCGTGAAGGAAGCAGGCTGGCTTCGTAGGAGGCATTCCAAAGCTTAGACATTCAAAGAGAATTTCCCCCATTCAGAGTACTCCTTCTAGAGGCATTACTCTTGTGATTCTACTCTCCAAATATGTTTGACGCAGTACTCTTGTGATTCTACTCTCAAAATATGTTTGCAGCAGTTCTTTGGGACTAGCCACCATGGAGACTATTAAAACAATTTTTTAGGCTCTGATGGCATTTCCAAAAGAGAAGTTCTAGAACTATTTTGGGCAATAACATTTTTGAAATATGTGCCTAACATTCTTGAAGGAAAAGATCTTATTATCTGTGATACATACATGCGTACTGTTTCTTCAGATAAGGTAGTTTTTTAAGTTAATGCAGTGGGTTTTTAACTGGGAGCAATTTTGCCCCTCGGGACATTTTGGCAATATATGGAGACATTTTTGATCGTCAGAACTGGGGATGATATGCTATTGGCATCTGGTGGGTAGATGACAGGAATGCTCCTAAATATCTTACACAACACAAGACAGTCCCCCACAGCACAAGAGTTACCTGGCCCAAAATGTCAATAGTGCTGGGATGGAGAAACCCTGATTTAAATGTCATGTTTGTTAAAGAAATAGTTCTCATTACTTCCCCCCACCCCACTACTTCACAGTAGGTACACTGTGCAGCAGGAAAACCAAAGGACACATTTGTGAAGGAGCCTCTGTTTATGCAGCAGACAGAGGCTTACTTGTTAAAAAATTATAAAGAGCAATGCTTTGGAGGCAGACAGATCTGAGTTTGAGTCGCTTGTTCTCCCATTTCCTAGCCATGTGAGCTTGGGTGATTTATTTAACGTCACTGAGCCTCAGTTTCCCCACCTGTAATATAGGAGTAATAGCCTCTACTTAAGGTCCCTGGATGGCACAAATGGCTTACGCTTGGCTGCTAATTGAAAGGTTGGTCATTTGAACCCATCCAGCAGCACTGTGGAAGAAAGGCCTAGCAATCTGCTTCTGTAAAGATTAGAGTCAGGAAAACCCTATGGAGCTCAGTTCTCCTCTGTAACACATGAGGTTGCCATGAATCACAATCAGCTCGACAGCAAAGAGTTTTAGTCCCTACTTCCTAGGGTTGCTGTGGGTATCCAGTGAGGGCATGCATGGCAAGTGCTTAGTTTAGTCAGTGTTCAATAGGTGCTGACTAGGATAGACTGTGACCTAAGAAACTGGATTTGTGTTTTATAATCCCTGTGACTATCAACAAATATTTATTGAATGCCCACGAAGCACAAAGCTCAATGCGTGGATTGTGGGGTCTCTGCCCACAAGTAGTAGATAGATACTCTGGGATAGGAGGAGGAAATAAAAGACACGTATTCATAAAGAGAAAGTGGATAATATAAGACCACATTTGATGTGCTGATTGGTGTTACTGACCATGTGGGCAGTAGGATTTAGAGGGGGAAGGATTGCTGTGATCTGATGGTGGGTTGAGGTACTGTCGGACTCCCTGTAATAGGGACTTCTGCCCCACTCTCAGACTGATTGGAAATGTGGCTATGATACAGAAAGGAATCAAGGAAACCCCAAGATTTTGAGTCTGGCTGACACAAGTGAGGATATCTGAAGAGGAATCTGTATTTGGGGAGGAAGATGATGAATTTTAAGCACTTTGAGTTTGCAGTTCAGGAAAAATATAAAAATAGAGTATCCAGCCAAATGTGGGATTGGAAATCTGGAACGAGATTGGGGAGATGTCTACATACACATGAATGCTGAAACCACAAGAGGAAACAAGGTCTCTAGATGACAATAGGAATTGGTTATTGAGGAATTACTTATATTTAGAAGGAGAAAGAGGAAAGAAGAATTTGTGATAAAGGAGGGGAGATTGGAAGAGAATCAGAATATCACAGTTTCCGCCAAATCAAGGAGGGAGTGCTTAGAAGTCAAATGTTTCTTAGACATGCTTCAGAGGCTGCTTAGAAGTCCAGACAAATGAGGACTGAATAAAGTTTCCTGGGTCTGGTGAGTGGGGGTCAGTGATAACCTGTGGGACTGCAGGAGGGGGTAAGGGAGGAGGCAATTTGCTGGGCTTTCAGAGGTGAGTGTGTGATAATGAGGTGCCCTGGATGGCGCAAATGGTTAAACACTTGACTCCCAACCAAAAGATTGGCAGTTCAAACCCACCCAGAGGCACCTTGGAAGAAAGGTCTGGCAATTACTTCCAAAAGGTCACAACCTTGAAAACCCTGTGGAGCACAGTTCTGTTGTGCACACATGGGGTCACCATGAGTTGGTGTTGCCTTGAAGGCAACTCGTTTGGTTTTTGATTTGGTGTGGTAATGAAGTGGAGAAGCAGCATACATTGATGCTTGTTTGACAGGTTTGTCAGTAAAAGGAGAAAGATGACAAGTCAGGGTAGCATCATGCTCAGGTCAAGTTTGATCTAGGATATGTGCGTTTGTGTGGAGCAGGAAGATGAACTAGGGAGAGATTTGAAATTTAAAATGTAAAGGAAGAAGGTAATGGAGGTGTATTAGAGACTATTTTAACTTCTCAATATTTATTCTCCCTTTCATTTATAGTAAGCAATGACCCCCCTCCCCCATTTTTATCTGAGCCAATTGCTGTGGAGAATGAAGACATCATTTCTCAACCTACATTGAAGCTAAGTATGAGTATATGCCTCACTAGTTTTGGCCAATAGGATGTAAATGGAAATGATGTGGATAACTTCTAAGAAGTTTCCATGAAGTGAAAGCTGTGCCCTTCTCTCTTTCCTCCTTCCTGTTGGCTGGATTGTGAATGTGATGGTTGGAGATGGGACAGCCATTTTAGACCACAAGGTGTCCTTGGGAATGGAGGTCAGGTGAGGTAGAGAAATGAGATACGATGTCTCTGACATTGTGGAGTGTCTACAGCCCTGGGCCACCCACTTCCAGACTTTTGCATAACAGAGAAATTAAGCCACTGTTAATCTGGGCTTTCTGTTACTTGCAGCCAATCATAATCCTAACCAATATCGGAGGGCAATCTTTCAGAGTAGATTAGATCTCAGTAAAGTCAAAACAGAGGTCATCTTTGAATCTGAGGGTTATGAAGTGCAAAGATGAGATCTGGAATAGCTGCTGAGAGCAGGACAAGTTTACAGAAACACTTGAGGGATGAGTAAAACAGGCCTAGGAATTCCAGACTACTCCTGTCTGCTTCCGGGGCTGAAGAGATCAATATCTCGGAGTAGATGTAACCTATTTGTAGGACATCTGTTGGAAATTCTGGGTCAAGCCACAAAAAAATTAGTTTCACGTGGAAGAGAATTGCAGTAGGTACAGGAGAAAAGTCTTTGAATTCACACCAGGGAGCCAGGCTCAGTCAATCCTTTCCTAGGCTAACATTTTGGTATAGCATAAAGTATTATGTAATTAATGATGATGAAAATGCTGTCCATTTGTATAGGCCATTGTTAGTTACCAAATATATTCATTGTTAACAATAATATAATATGATATAATAGTATTAAGTTGTCTGAAAGGAGATGTCATCAGTCAGGTAACTCATCTACTCTTATTTCTTACATTGGGCTTCAAAAGATTATATCCAACCAGTGTATTCTTATACATTAATCTGGTTCTGATAGAGGAGTGATTTAAGATACTGAAGTTTAAGTACACCTGAAATAAGTATGCTAGGTGAGTAAAGGGAATTTAAATTCAAGTCTCTAAGCAAAAATGTGTCAAGTGTGAAGTTAGCTGATCTTTTGTCACACTTGAATTCAAGGGTTACATGGGAAGAGTTTTCAGCTGCTCATTTGAATCCTGGGTTCCATCACCTCTGGGACATTTAACATATGCAAGATATTATTATCATGTTATTATTTTCAAAATGTATTATTATTATTAATTAACAACCTGTGAAAATATTTTCCACAATTTATTTGGAATATTTCCCAAGAAACATTTTTATCTGGTTATATCACTGTAACCATTATTTTAGAAATACTTAAAATTCTCCAACAAATAATGTAAAGTGTGTAATCTTTTACAAGTTCATTATGAAATGCCTCTGTTCAGGTTGGGTATCTAGTGGATCTACATGTTCTAATGCTGTGTTTCCTCACGAGTAGTTTCCTTTCCATTTTGTACAGAGTCAATCCCTGACAGAAATGCTTTTCATGGTACAGAATGCTATTGGAGAGTTGTATCTTGAAACAGGAATGACTCAGGAAGGGTTCCAGTATTTCCAGAAAGCATGGTCAAACCTGATGTACTTTTCACCCAGTAACTTAAAAAAGCACCCGAATTTGGTGAAGCAACAAGGTATGGTGGACATGTGCTCAAGAAGTAACCTCTTGTGTTTCACAGAGTCAGACTCTTTCTGGAATATGCCCATCCCATCCACAAAAAAAGGAAAATGGCTATGTGTGCTTGATTTTTTTATTGTGGTAAAATATATATAGGAAAATATTTGCCACTTCAACCATTTTTACATGTATAATTCAGTGACCTTGATTACATTCATCATGTTGTACAATGATTACCACTATCCTTTTCTAAATTATTTCACTACCATTGACAGAACTCAGTGCCCCTTAAGCATTGACTCCCCCTTTCCCCCTCTCTCCCATCCCTGGTAACCACTAATAAGCTTTGGTCTCTATACATTTACCTGTATCATAGAGGTGGGATCATATAGTATTTGTCCTTTTGTGACTGACATTTTTCACTCAGCATAATGTTTTCAGGGTTCATCCGTGTTGTGGCGTGCATCAGGACTTCATTTCTCTTTTCGGCTGAATAATATTACACTGTATGTATGAACCACATTTTGTTTATACATTCATCTTTTGATGGACATTTAGTTTGGTTCTACCTTTTGGCCATTGTGAAAAGTGCTGCAATGAACATTGGCATATAGGTTTCTATTTGCGTTCCTGCTTTCAATTCCTTTGGGTATATACCTAGGATTAGGATTGCTGGGTCATATGGTAGTTCTGTGTTTAACTTTTTGAGGAACTGCGAAACCACAGCAGCTGTACCATTTTCCTTTCTGCAAACAATGGATGAGGGTTCCTGTTTGCTTGATTTTTTTGGAGGGCTGGTGGGTGTATAAGGGTTGACCATAAAGCACTCCTCGTTCTGACAGACCACTCTTTTAGAATGCCCAAGGCTGTTATGACACACCTTGGGAAAGGAGGCTTTGAGCAGTAAGAGTGCATCCATTCAGAGCTTGACTCTGAAGCCAGCCTTTCTGGGTTCAAATCCCCTCTCTCCACTTACTAGCTGTGTGCCTTTAGACACATTACTTAGCCTTTCTGGGTCCCAGTTTTCTTACTTGTAAAGTAGGGATAAAAATAGCATCTACACACGTTGTTGTGATGACTGAAAGTGCTCATATGAGAATGTAAAGCACACAGAACAGTGCCTGCCACGTAGTTAAGTACTCATTGATGGTAGCTGCTACTAATGGTTAACATTAACATTAGTGGTACTGTTTTATTCTCCAGTATTTGATGCTTAGGGCATTTGTGGTACCGTTAATATAGTGTTTTGTGAATTAACGTATTAGGCATTTTTGACCTACTGATTTACAGTCAGACTAAAGGACTCTAGACTTAAGTCATACTTAAATGGCTGTATCAATTAGCTTTCGCTGCATAACAAGCCACCCCATAACTCAGTGACTTAAAACAACAACAATTTATAATTGCCTATGAGTCTACGGATCAGTGGATGATTCCACCAGCCTGGGCTGGGCTCAGCAGATTTGGCCTGGATTCACTCAAGTGACTGAGGCCAACTGGCAGGACTGATGGGGCTGCTAGTGGTTGTCTGGCTGGCCACGTGTCATTCATCCTCTAAGACGTTAGCCTGGGCCTGTTCACCTGGTGGCTCCTAGGATTCCAAAAGGGAGAACAGAAGTCTAGGTCTAGGCATGCAACTGGCACAACACCCCATTTTGCTGTATTCAGTTGCTCAAAGCAAGTCATGGGGCTTCATTTAAGAGGTGGAGAAAGAGACTTCACCTCTTGATGGGAGGAACTGCAGTGCAAAGGGGATTGGGTACAGGGTGGCGTGGAAAATTGTAGCCATTTTTGCAATCTACCACCATGGCCTAAGATCAGAGGTCACCTTGGGCAAGCTACTTACCCTCTCTATATGCCTCAGGTTCTCATCTGTAGAATGAGGGGCTTGAATTCACTTTTATATTAATAGTTACCATTTGTTGACTGTTTACTATGTACAAGAGACTGTTATCTCTTTTTTTCTAAATATACTTCATGTGTTATTTATTACACGGAGCCCTGGTGGCGCAGTGGTTAAAGCAATCAACTGTTAACAAAAAGGTTGGCAGTTTAAAACCACCTGCAGCTCCCCGAAAGACGTGGCAGTCTGCTTCCGTAGAGATTTACAGCCTTGGAAACCCTGCGTGGTCGCTATGAGTCGGAATCAACTCAATAGCAGTGGGTTTGGTTTGGGTTATTATGTGTTACATGCTTGGTAAAGTAGAGGGTCAGCGAAAAAGAGGAAGATCTTCAGTGAGATGGATTGACACAGTGGCTGCGCAACAATGGGCTCAAACATACCTACTATTGTAAGGATGGTGCAGGACCCGGCAGTGTTTTGTTCTGTTATACATGGCATCACTATGAGTTGGAGTCAACTCGACGGCACCTAATGACAACAACATTAAGTATTACTACACCTGTTTTACAGACAAGGAAGCTGAATATCAGAGAGATTAAATAACTTACTTAACCTACTTCATCTCCCAAAGCTGGTAAATCCAGCGCTGGGAGTCCAAGCGAGGCCTCTGTGACTCTAAAGCCTGTCCTCATATCTCCTTGTTGTATGGAATCTCTTCTAGCTCTGACGTTTATGAGGCTGTAACCCTCAAGATATAGAGTGTAGCTTCCGAGCTGTTTTCCTAATGCAGGCAGGTCTACTCACGAGCATGCTGGGACCTTGGTGAACAGGGGAAGCCAGGTGGAAACCAGGAACATTCACGTGGATGCTGGGACTGGTCCTCCAGAGGCAGCTGGGCAGTCGAGTGCAGAGTTCCAAGGGGTTAGGTAGATCTTGGCTTGCTGTAGACAGCCATGTTTCTCCAAGGAGGCCAAGCCAGCAGGTGGGTGAGGCCCAGATGAAACAATGCTTGGAGGTAGGAGGTAGAATCAGCATCGTTAACAGTAGCCATAATGGGAATAGAGTCCTTGCGGAATGTGAATGGTTAAGCACTAGGCCACATACCAAAAGATTAGTAGTTCATATCTACCCAGAGGCACTGTGGAGATAAGGCCTGGTGTTCTACTTCCAAAAGATCACAGCCATTGAAAATTCTATGAAGCGCAGTTCTACACATGGGGTTGCTGTGAGTCGGAGTCAGCTTGACAACTGGTTTTTTTGGTGTGATGGGAACACCTTGTTGTTGCAGTCTCCTGGCAAGAGTCAGGTGGGGATTTAGGGCCTAGGTAAGCAGATAAAGAGAGGAGAGTGAGCATTCCAGCCTGACCAGAGTTCACCCATTCGAAGTATCTGTTGAGGGCTTGCTGTGCCCCAGACCTGTCCTAGCAAAGAAACACCAACTCTGCCCCCTAAAGGAGATGACATGCAAAACACCAGTGAGCCAACAAATGAAATCATTACAGGTTTGTAATAAATGCAGTGAGAGAGACAAACGAGATGGAGTTACAGCAGAAGGTGGAGGCAGGGGCCCACTTGGGCAAGGGTGGTCAAGAGCCCTCCTTGCAGAGGGAACGTTTCAGCTGAGACCTAAGGGACTGCAGGAGTCACATGCAGGGAGGGGTGCTGGGGTGGAGCAGTCCTGGCAGAAGGCACAGCATGTGCAGAGCCCTGAGGTGGGAGGGGGCTTGGCCTGAGAATGGAAGAGGCTCTGTGAGGCAAGGGCAGGAGGGAGCTGGGCCTGACCATGCAGGGCTTATATCAGGCAGGCATTTGGATTTTATTCTAAGAGTGAGGGGAAGCCATTGTAGGGTTTGGGGTGGAATGGCATCACCTGCTGACTGTTTTGAGGTCAGCGTTGCTGTTGTATGGAGAATGGATTACATGGTGAGTAAGAGTGGACACATGGGGTCGCCGTGAGTCAGAACTGACTCCGTGGCAGCAGGGGTGTGAGTGTGTGTGTGTGGGCAAGAGTGAATATAGGGAGACCAGCTTTGTGGCTGTCCTGGCCTGATGTCCAGGGCAGAGGCATAAGGCTCCGGATGGGGATGCTGGGGGGTGGAGTGTATGCAAAGGGTGAGGTGTGTGCAAAGGTCATGATGATGAATTAGGTATGATGGATGATGAAAAGCGATAATTCTTGATAATTTAATGGTAACCCTTTATAATAAAGACTGAATTCCATAGCACAGCAAGTTAAATCTGTTTATCTTAACTGTCAGCAATGCTCTAATAATACCTCTGGGAATATTATTGTGTTTTTTTCTTTTTCTTCCCATAACAAAACATGGCTTAGAAAACACTTGCTGTTCTTGTCAGATAATATGTAACTCTCAATAAAGGAGCAAAATTGTTGGGTCCTTGCAGAGGGTACATTTCCAAGGCTACGTGTATCTAGGTATATCCTATCATTAATTAATTGGGCTTATGGGGCATATTCATTTGCTTCTTGCAAGGCTCTATCATTTTGCTGTGTCCTATCACAACAAAATGTGCTGGCGCTTTCTGTAGGACCTGGTTACCACAGTGACGACTGGCTTCACTATGTCTGTGTTCTCACTCTATTTCTGACCTGTGAATCTGCAAAGCAGACTTAGAATTCTGATTCAATCTATTGTCTTAGCTCCTTGGCCTTATAACTGCCGTGCACATGCAACCTTGTTATAGGAAAACCAACCCATGCCGTGTAGGCCAGTAGTTAATTTATTAAGAAAAGAGTCTGGCTATTGGCAGTGACACAGAAATGGTATTAAATGCTCTGCCTACTGACATTTTTACTGTCTTGTGGAAAAAATCCTTAAGCATCACATTCTTTGCCAAAATTGATTCCCTGCAGGCAGAGTGCTGAACAACCTGACAAAGTCAGGGTCGGAGGAGTACTTAAAAGGACATCACATTTTGGAATATGCTACTGAACTTTCCAAGTTATTGGACAGCAACCCAAGGGATCAAGCTACCATGAAATACACTGAAGGCGTTCTGATGTAAGCATGCATTCATCCTGAAAAAAAAATTTTTTTTTTTGTTTTCAGTACTAGCTTTTGTTGTTATGATTAATATATACTTGACCCACTCTGCTAATCTATTTCCCATTGAACTGATCTGGCTATGAAATGTTGGATTTTAGCATTTCCATGCTCTAGTTCGGAGCCCTGGTGGTACAGTGGTTAAAGAGCTTGGCTGCACCAAAAGGTCGGCAGTTGGAATCCACCAGCCGCTCCTTGGAAACCCTATGGGCAGTTCTGCTCTGTCCTGTAGGGTCGCTGTGAGTCAGAATTGACTCAACAGCAACAGGTTTGGTTTTTTGGTTTTATGCTGTACTTCAGCGGTCCTCAACCAGGGGTGATTTTGCTGCCCGGGGGACGTGTGGCAATATCTGGAGACATTTTTGGTTGTCACAGCAAGGGGGAGGGGGTGCTGCTGTAGTAGGTACAGGCCTGGGATGCTGCTAAACATCCTACAGTACACAGGACAGGTCCCACAACAAAGAATCATCCAGCCCAAATGTCAGTGGTGCCAAGGCTGAGAATAGTACTCTAGTTCCTTTATAAGATATACATACTATCTTCTTATAAATCACCTTGATGTTCTTGAATCTCAAGTATTGTGAACTGCTCTGCTGTTTTGTATCTTCCAGGACAGAGTTTTGTATATAATGAGAGATGTTCATGAGAATTACTTTTGATAGCACAGTAAATTAGCTAACATTTATCATGCCCGGTAAATAACACACATCTGTTTTATTTTCAGATTAAATACTGGAAACATATCTCTTGCAAAAATGAAATTTCAAGAATGTTTAGATATCAGGAGAAATTTGTTCGGCGAGAAAAGTATCCTAGTTGCAGAAATTATGGAATTTTTAGCAGATTTACAATTTTTTTCCCTAAATGGTGAAAGGTTAGTTTTTATGAAATGTTTCCAGTAATGTGGGCAGCAAGGTCCGGGGTTGCCCACCAGGATGTCTCACTTCTTTGGCTCCAGCCCTGCTCAGAGACCTGAGGGACTCACCCCACCTGAGAGTTGTGTCCCCACTTTCTTCGTCAGGACACCAATCATTGTATATTCAGAAGCAGCTTTAGCTCACAAACTGTACAGAGGTTTTGGCAGTAGGAAAAGCACAAAGGAGTTTGATGTTGTCCTGAGTATTTCTCAACATCACTCACAGCCCTAATGAGGAAACTGTACTTAGTTCAGGCCCTCAGTGCTGGCCTCAGAGTCCCTGGGTGGTGTAAATGGTTAATGCACTTAGCTGCTAACCTAAAGGTTGGGGGTTCAGGTCCACCCAGAGGCATCTCAGAAGAAAGTCCTGGTGATTTACTTCAGAAAAATCAGCCATTGAAAACCCTATGGAGCACAGTTCTACTCTGACCCACATGGGGTCATCATAAGTCAAAATTGACTAGATGGCAACTGTAAAAAAAAAAAAAAAAAAAGAATTCAGGCCTCCACCGCATTGTCTCGGTGCCACATCCCACTGGTCTAAGTCTGTCTGTAAGACCTGGCCCTCAGCACTTACAATGTCTCAGGCTGAGCTTGCATGCTCCCCCTTCTCACTCAGGGAGTCCTCCTGGTTCTCTTTTGATGTGGGGGGCTCTCTTCAGGTCTGTCAGGGACGGTTGTAAGTTAAATCGTGATGTTGTTAAGTTTTGTTCTTGTAACTCTACTTCTCTCCCATCCCTGTTCCCTGGTTTCAGTTTTTCACTTTCTGGAGATCATTTTCCTCTCACTTCTCAGCAGGAATGTGGCCTCTCCCTGCTCTTGCTCGCAGGGAGACTGTGATATTAGCAAAGTCTCTAGCCCCTGAGGGCAAATCAGCATTAACACTTTCTAAGAGTATTCACATTTTAAAGAATAGCCCTAAAATGGGAGTTGTTGTTGTTGTGTGCCATCTAGTCATCCAGACTCATAGCGACCTTGTAGGACAGAGAACAGCTGCTGCTTAGGGTTTCCAAGGCTGTAAATCTTTACAGAAGCAGACTGCCACATCTTTCTTTCAAGGAATGGCTGGTGGGTTTGAACTGCTGACCTTTCGGTTAGCAGCCGAGTGCTTTACCCACTGTGCCACAGGGGCTCCTAAAATGGGAGTACCTAAGTGTAAAAATTATAGGTGCTATATAGCAGTGGTAAGATGGTTGGCTCTGGGGTCCAGTTGCCTGGATTCAAATATTATTTCTGCTGCTTAGCGGTTCAAACTCACCCAGAGGCTCCTTGGAAGAAAGCCTGGTGATCTGCTCCTGAAAGGTCACAGCCACGAAAACCCTATGGAGTGCATACTCTGAAAACATGGGGTCTCCATGAGTCAGAATCAACTCATCTGCAACTAGTGGTAGTTATAATGAGACCTTGGGCAAACACTTCACATCTTGGTGTCTCATTGGTTTCCTCATTGGTAAAATGAGAATAATAGTAGTATCTTCTTCACAGGGTTATTGTGAGGCTTAAGAGATCCCATATGTAAAGTGCTTAGCAGAATGCCTGGTACATACTAAAGGAGTTTGATAAATTGAGTTATCAGTGTTATTATTTTGCTCCCTAGCTGATGATTTTTTTTTTTGAACATTTTATTGTGCTTTAGGTGAAAGTTTACATAGCAAATTCGTTTCCCATTCAATGATTCATACACAAATTATTCTGTGATATTCATTGCAATCCCCACAATATGTCAGCACTCTCCCTATTTCCACCCCCAGCTGGTGATGTTGGAGGCACTTGCCACCACATAAGCTTCCTCTTACTCATCTTTAAGAACTGTGAGCAGAGAACAGGACTTTCTTTAGGGATGCAGACAGCTTGGCTGTAGAAACCATTGCCTTGTAAAAGAAAAATCTAAACAAGTAGCGTATTGCCTGAGTCATCTGTATTCCCTGGGCTGCCCCACCACAAATCCAGAGCTGTTAGGGTGTGAATCACAAGACATGTAATACTGCTGGACCATCCCACAGTGATGTCCTCTACGCCAAGGACCTGACCATTCATGGATGCTTTCCTCTCAGGCCTCATTGTGCAGGGTCAACCTTTTGAGACAGTGGAGAAGACTTAGTTACCTAGTGCTGCCATAACAAAAGATACCACAAATGGGTGACTCTAAAGAATAGAATAGGAGTCTATTTTTGCGTAGTTTTGGAAGCTAAAAGTCCAGATCAGGGCCTCAGCCATGTCCGTTCCTTCTGTGAGCCTCTCTCCTAGTTTCTGGTGTCTGCCGGCAATCCTTGATGTTCCTTTGCTTGTAGATGGGTCCTCACATGGTGTCTATCTTCCCCTGTGTGTGTATTTCTGAGTCTAGTCACTCTTTTTATCAGACACCACTTAGAAGTGATTAGGTTTAGAACCCACCCTACTCTGGTATGACCTCATTAACATAAAAAAGAAAACCTCTATTTCCAAACAGGGTCATATTTACAGGCGCAGGGGTTAGAACTTCAGCACATATTTTAGGGGGACACAATTAAATTCATAACATTTATCAAAGGTTATATTAGGTGATAGCATCTTCCACATTGTTTAAAAACAGGAGACATTCTACTGTGTTACTCAACTCACCTCTCTAATGTGTGCGGATCTTTTGCCCTGGTGGCCAAGGGCAGAAGAGACAGCTCTCATGCACTACAGAAATGATCTGTAAGATTCAGAGGGACTTGTAGGATGGGGTTGGGCAGGATGGATAAATTAGGTCAAATTTAAAAATCAAAAGTTAAAAGAACAGGGAAGAGAAGAATGAACAAAATGTCTTAGGAGAAACAATGTCAATTTCCCAGTGAAATAAGTATCATCTATTCTTCCTCAGCCTTTATCCTTTCATCAAGAACTACCCTTTCATCAGTGTCCTTTTCACAGTCAAGTTCTTTTACTTCCTCACTTCCCATTTGAAGTCTACCCCCCAACACCATTTTGTCTGCTCTTCTGAAAGTCCTCAAGAACATCCTAAAAGTGTCGCTTTGTTCTTCTTATAGACCCTCTCCTGCTGAGGTATTTGACAGTGTTGATCACTCCCTTCCTGAAACTGTACTCTCCTGGTTTCTGAGATACCTGCCCTCTTGGATTTCCTCTCTGATTATGACTTCTCAGTTTCTTTTGTGGGTTTCTCTTTCTGCTTCTTGTCCAAATGTTGGTGTTCTCTTAGGTTCAGTTCTTGGGCTCTATTCTTATCTCTGTCTTAGCACCTCAACTTCACCTGTGCCTAGGGCTTCAGCCACCTTTCCATAGGTGATGGAATCTTATCTCTATCTTCTTTTCAACCTATATTATCAGCTCTAGACCTGTGCATCCATCTCTTCATTGGACATCTCCATTTGAGTATTCCACTGGCACTTCAGCATCAACATCTTCAAGACTGAACACATCAACCCCTTACTCCCTGACAAAATGCTTCTTCTCTTTGCTGGCCTAGCCCAGACACGCACCATCTTAATGATACATCTCAATGATATCTAATATCACATGTGAAATTGTTCATTACAGATTACTAAGTAGGCACAAGTAAGCCTGGGCTTACCTTACTTATTGTATAATCTGCCCCTGCTCCTTCAATGCAAAACTTTAATGTTCTCTTTTCTAGATCCCAAAGGAAGCAAGTAATTGAGTATTATAAACAAGTGATAGAAATAAAGGAAAATGCAGAAGCTCTGGCCAACTCCTTGATCATCAGGAAGCAGCTGTGCATCAGCTTAAGCGATACCTTGTGTAAATTAGGTAACTGCTAACTCATTTATATCATAAACAGGTGGCATTTTCCTTGTTTCACCTGCCTACTTTGTTTGTTTAATTTTTTTCTTCACAAGTAGCACCTGTTCCACATGCTGCCAACTATTCTTGCTCCCTCTTTCCCTTCCCTTACTGGAAAAAAAAAAAATCTTCTAAAAACCTTCTCCATCCTATTTTTCATTCTTTTGTAGGCAGAGCACCATGCTTGCACCAGACTTCTCTCCTGTCAGTGTAGGTTCCCTTCCTTCTTCAAATTCTGTTTCCAGATTCTCACTATAGCCTTTTCATACTGTTAAAAATAATCAAAACTAACCAAAATTTGAGCATAAAGTTTATTCTGAGCAGTTATTCTATATGCATATAGGGAGGCCATTTTGATTCCAGAAAAAACAAATGCCTTGAAGAAGGTAGGTACAATGGGGCTTATAAAGAGAAGGGAGAAATATAGAAGATCAACCACTGGCTAATCTTAACATGATAGATTGGACCCTTTACTGAGATCAACCGATATCAGGTTACTTCTGACCTGGCTGCTAATAATTTGGCCCTCCACCCACCTGCAGCTGTCAGACTTTTTGAGATTTAAATTAGGCGGTAATGGTTTGATGGCTATCCTTTTCTAGCGGATAAGGCAAACTTGTATTGCTGTAGAGCAGTTTCTGGTAGGCTTTTGCAGTTTGGGTCAGGCTTTTTATGGTTAATATTTGCTTTTGTGGATAAGAAAAACCTTAAAATTGTTATAGAGTAAGAACACTCACTTCTGTTAAAGTAAAAGCAAAGAGATTTATTGAGGGTAGTACAGTTTTTGAATTGGGGAAACACGGGGCAAAGAGGAATCTACCAAGTGCTCCCATCTTCCAATGGAGAGGTGAGCCTTTTATATGGTAAAATGAGGAGGGGAAACACATGATAGCTTATGAATGATGGTAAAATGGGGAGGAGTAGCGAGAGATCATCAACACCATAATCTCTTTTAACATCAAGAACCCTTCCCAGAAAAACCACATTCTCACCCTCACCCTTATTTACTAAGAGGGTTAAGGTTTAGGGAAGTTGAAGGCTACATTCTCAGGAATGCAGATGCAGGGGCTTTAGTCAAGCTAAAGTCTGATTCAAAATGGAGTCTAGCTGACAATATGGAGTTTGATTCAAAACCGGGGTTAGCTATCCTGTTCCAACCAGGCACCTCAATTTGGAGTTTTCCTACACAAAATCAAAGTAAAATGTTATTGATTTTCCTATTCAACAATACCTGTGATGCTAAAATAACATATGACTGAGAAAAACAAAATGGGGTTTCATGTGGGCCCATCACCCTTGATTTTATTTATAAAATGTAGGACTCAGTGAAATATACCTGGCTCAGAAGTTTGAAGGTATTTTCTGATTAAAAGTTAAGAAATTTAAAGTAAAATTATATAAGTGTTAAAAAATCAAAAATAATTTGACTGTAAATTTACTAGGAGAGGTAGGGCTTTAAGTCCATGTACTCCTTTTGCTGCTTGTTGCTTTTGTCGTTGAGTGACAATGAAACCAGACCAATGGGTCTGTACCCAGCGTGCAAGAAGCCAATCTCTCAGATGCTGTTTTTGAGAGGAAGAAAGAGTGTATTTTGCAGGCTAGCATGCAGCAACTCAGAGGTATTGACCTCAGGTTGAGTTCCTTGATTTGAGTGCGAGATCACATTTTATACTTATACATATTCATATAGGGGTGGAGGAAGGTGGTGGACAGGAGCAGAAAGTTTTAACTATTCATAGTTTCTATTGATTATTTATTATGAGGTGGGGCTAAGACTTGGCCTGGAAGTGGCCAATGGACTCTTCGTTTTCGAAATGGGCTCAGCTACTGCTGATGACATATATACAGTGATTTTGGTTCCTTGACATGAGTCTTTTGGTTCCTTGACATGAGTTCTCTTATGTTACTGAGCATGTGTGGTGGCCCGGGGTCGTCTGTTCGGTCATCTTTGTCTGTTCTGTCCGTGTCTGAGCCGGTTAGATCTGGACCTGTCTGGGGCTCTCCAGAGGGTCTGCAGAACAACTTAGAGGAAGTGAGTGATGTAGTGGGGGAGGTGACTAGATGTGGCCTTATAACCGACAGAGTACTAATTAATTCCCTGTCTTCAGCTTTTAGGGTTCCCTAACAACAATGCATACTCTGTTTAAAATCAAAGTAAGGAAATTCATTGAAAGCAAAAGCAGTTCAAACCAGGGACAGGTTAGATCTCAAAAAGTGAAAACCAGCTCTCCGAAAAGCTGCAGTCACACAGGCATTGTTACAGGGTTGAATCAGGAACATAGCTTACAATATTCTGATTGGTAGGTGAGCAATCAGTAAAGTGGAAGGCAGAAAGTCTCGAAGTGGGGCTTTGGTTGGGATTGGTTGCTAAAAGTATATGTGGATTAAGGGAATTGGGTACACTCACATAATTGCAGAAGTATGTGCTTGCAAGGGGGTCGTGAGATGATTGACAGGGGGCCAGGGTCTACTGGTTCCACCAAGCCAAAGGCCCAGGCTATATGCATATGGGAAGAAGTTAGTCAGCTGGTTTTACCCAGCCAGAGGCCCAGGGCCATATGCATATGAGGAAGTCAAGGTTACATTCTCAGAAATGCAGAAACAGAAGTCACAAAATGGAGTCAGGCCTACACTAAGCCATCCTAGGCAGGCCAGGCACCTCAGTTTTGGAACTCTTGCACACTTCTATCATTACCGTTTTACTCCCCTTCATGGGAGGAGTTCCTTTTTTTTTTTTTTTTTTTTAGTTTCTTTGACCAAAATGTTGATAGTATTAGTTTTGGTTTAGGTTGAAGATTTAGTTTCTTCACTGGTACTAGTTCAGTTAAGTAGAATTTATTTATATATTAAAGGCAGTCTTCCAGGGTCACTGTTGAAGAACCCCCGGAGGCCTCATGAGAGAAGAGTTCTGTGTCTTACTCTCTAGGCTCTGCTATTGCCAGGAACCAGAAGGCCAGGAACTTATCTTTTATTGCCTCAGTAATTATTTGGCCCATTAGCCTATTAGCTTGTTCTACATATAGTGGGCAGTCATTGGATTCTGTCATTTGCCTGGAGTGTTGCTGCTAAACTTGGGAGTTGAGGAGAGTGGAGAGTTGAGCTGAAGGCTTCAAACAGTGGACAGGAAACTGGAGGCTGGTCACAGCTGGAAGGGAGGGAGGGAGAGAGGGAAGAAGAAAGAGAGGAAGTCAGGACGTAAGTCCACAGGGCAGAGCTTCTCAACCTGTGTGGAATGAGTGAGTTATAGCTGTGCCAAATAGAAACCCCTGAGCTCTTGGGCAGCTGGTCAGGGTAGAGTATCTGGACTGGTCTTCTCCAGCCTTGGGCAGCTTTGTCTATTCCAGGCCAGCAAGCTACCTAAGAAATCTCATGCTATAAGTTTCATGACTAGAAACATTTCGAAGCACTGTCAGGGACCCTGAAATCTCCTTGCTACAGGGCACAGTTTGTACTTCAACTTAAACCACACTCTGAACTCCTGGGGCAGGGACCTTGTCATTTTTTCCTTTGTATCTTCAAAGCATCAGAAACAGAGCTAGCAGCACATCAGTACTCTGTCAATGCAGGGAGGGTAAGGAAGTCAATAAACAAGTTCTTTCTGGTGTTAAAACAAAAAAGTCATATTAATCCTGTAATAGAAATTGATTGACATTTATTTAATATATGATTTGCAAATTGGGGTAACATTTTGACTAGGAAGTCAAAAATGTTCCAAAGGTGAGAACTTCCAAAATTCTTTTACCACATCTTATTGGCACTGCCATGGAAACGGGGGCTAGAACAGTGTTTATATAATAACAATTTACCCTAAAACGCAGCTTCCAGTCAGACCCTAGTTCCTGTTTCTAGAAACTGACTAAAACCAAACCCGTTGCCATTGAGTTGATTCTGACTGGTAGTCCTATGGGACAAGGAGCAGCTGTTGGATTCAAACCGCCAACCTTTTAGTTAGCAGCTGAGCTCTTAACCACTGTGCAACCAGGTCTCCAGAAACTGACTGCACATAGATGATTTTTCAAAAGAGCCCAATGTCTAAGGCAAAAGGGTCTCCACTAAGCTGCTTCCTAGTCTATTGTTTGACTTAAAGGTGACTTTAGGAAACCAGTTTCTTCAAGGCTCAAGGTTCAACTTCAAAAGGACACCTAAGGGCAAATGGCCTGGGTGGGTCACCCCAACTTTGTAGACCCCAGACATCTGGATTCCAGGAGAATTAAAATGGTTTTTCACAGGATATTTACATAATTTGTCTTGGGTTATCCAACAGAAATGATGGCTCTGCTCCAGGCTAACAATATTGAAAGAAACATCCCAAAATGTATTGTAACCTATTGAAAACAATGCTCTTTAGTTGACTTCCCAGATTTCAATTTAGATTATAGATTAAAAATGATAATTGCTAGCTTGAATGTCTTGGGAGCTTCCATCATCTTTTATTACATTTGATTAACATGTTCAATACAGTATAATCTTCTCAAGGGGTATGAAAATAGGATTCCAGCAATTTTTGATAATTCAGATTTTAATTATAATCATAACATTTTATGTATGAGATTATAATAAGAATATATTAGAATGATGGATTTGTGAGAGGGTGGTAAATCCTAAATTTTGTTTCTTCTTCTGATCACAGATTAGCAAGACATGTATTCATAAAGGCAATCTCTTTCTGTTTAACATATTATCTCCTCTTAATTTTGATCAGTTTTAAGTAAAAATCTTCACCTAATAAATCTGTTAATTCTAAGGATTTTTGTACTAATTCTGACTATGAAAACAGGATTTTTGTGATTTATGTTCCAAGCTACCCCTGACACAGAGAGGTCTTACTGCTTTCTCCTTTAAGTGTTTTAAATTCGCCTGTTGAGAAGCCATTTCAATGGGAGAAAAAAAAACAAAACAGAAATGAGCCTTTTATATTCCATTGTATCAGGCTGATTGTTCTGTACTGAATTATTTATTTTGGATGA